TCCTGATTGGCTCCCGTCAGCACCTCCACACCTCAGGCGCTGACAGCATCACCATCCATGGTTGCACACTCCATCTTACTAAGCCAGTCCGGCACCTTGGCGTCTTGTTTGACCCTCAACTATCCTTTGTACCCTACATCTGCGCCATGAAATTCCTGACTGTCCAGCGCCTTGGGACATCCTCCCGACTTGAAAGGCGCTTTACAAATGTAATTTTGTTGTATTATTATGGTTATTATTATCAATAATGTACTCAATCACTACCAAACATTTTTCCAAACTCTCAAGGAGCTGCAGTAAATATCACAGCCAAAACATGTGGCATTGTGCGGCTTAAGTTCAACTTGACAGTGACTGAAGTTCCCATCTGTTACTCTTCTGTTAGAAGTTCTATTCAACAGTCCTGGAGTAGAGTGTGTGAAACGCTTGACTTGTACAATTAGTGCTTCAGTGTGACTTCAATGGCCATGTTCTCAACTCCTGACCTTTATTCTCCCTCACACAGCTTCCTCTTAAATACATGTCTACGACAACAACAAGAATTTGCATTTATATAGCGCCCTTCACAGTGGACAGCATCTCAGAGCACTTAACAGTACTGGAGCCCGATGCCGAGCCAGGGGGAGGGAGGGGTGACCATAAGCAGGCTCGAAGAGGAGGCTCTTCAAGCATGACCTGAAAATGGGGAGGGGGGGGCAAGGTGAAGGGATTGAGGGAGAGAGTTCCACAACTTTGAGGGGTAGTGACTGAAAGCATGGCTGCTAATGGTGGGGTTGAAGGTCTGGGGGACAAGGAGGAGGTTGGAGCCAGTTGAGCGGAACCAACAACAGAATATCAGAACCAAGACAATCCTCCGTGGCAGTCTTGGGTCCACAGTACTCCACAGCACCTCTGATGACAGACCAGCTCAGAAGTATGGGGCTAAAGTGCAGGTAAATGGGACGAGAGCCAGCACAGACATGATGGGCCCAATGGCCTTCTGTGCTGTAACTTCCTATGGTTCTTTGATGACTGGTAAGTATGTCAGATGAGGCCATCACATTCATTCCCTAACAAGGACTCAACACAGGAAGCGTGTCTACTTGAGCTAAATGAAGAACAGATGAAAATTTCAGTCTCCCAGTTTCTCCGTTTGCAATTATTGTAATAGGCATCCACTTCCCGGCTGTTTGTGGGCACCTGCTGTGAGCACGTTCCCTGTTCGGTTTGTCTGCAAAAACCCATCAATAATCATAATAAAAATAATAATAGTAATCTTTACATTTAACGTAGCACCTTATCGTGTTCTCGAAGCATCTCAAAGCACCTGACAGGATTTTACTGTAAAGTGTGGCAATTGTGTGTTTGGTAGGCGTCCACAATTTGCATTTATATAGCGCCCTTTACGAAGAGCAGTGTCTCAGAGCACTTAGCAGTGGTGGAGCTCGACACTGAACCTGGAAGAGAGGGGAGGTGACCATAGGCACGGTCGAAGAGGAAGTTCTTCAAATGCGATCTGAAGATGGGCAAAGAGGGGGCAATGGCGGAGGCATTGAGGCCTGGGAATTCCAGAGTTAACTGCAGGCAATTTTCACACAGCAACGTCTCACAAAGCAGGGTATTGTTGGCCAAGATGGCAGGAGAAACTCTTTTCGATTAGTTCTGCTCGAGGTGAGTCATGGGTGTGGAAGGGACATTCAGTCCCTGGGAGGTAGATACACATTGTGGAAACTGACTATAAATCTGAGCAATGTGAAGCAGGATAAATTAATACAAATTCACGTCTGTGGTTTGCAACCAACAACAACGATTTGCATTACATTCCACCCACAAAATATACAGTCAATTCACTTTACAGTATATTCTGTGAAGTGCTTTGAGACGTCTTGAAGCGGACCCTGGGAAGGATTGGGGTACGGAGGTTGGAGCGGGTGAGGATATGGGTGGCAGAGTTTAATTGAATTGATTGGATTTTATGAATAATGGAGCTGAGGAGACCGACAAGGAGGGCATTGGAATACTCAAAGCAAGAGGTAACAAATACATGGATAAGGATTTTGCCTGCATTGGGTGTGAAGTACGGTTGGAGGTAGGCAGTGTGGCGGAGGTGGAGGAAAGTGGTCCATGAAGGAAAAATGGTGATCGAACAAGCCCTCAGTCAGGACTTTGGCACTCATTCGAGTCTCGGCTGGGACTCCAGTGCCGTGCTGGGGGAGTGTTACATTGTCAGAGGTACCGGCCTTTAGGTGAGATGTTAAACCGGGGTCCCAGCCCATTCAGGTGGACGTTGGAGATCCTGTGGCAATACTCGAAAAGAGAATGGAGTTTCTCCCTGTTTCCTGTCCAAGAATCCCCAAATAAAATTGGTCATTTACTGCACAATTATTGGACACTGCTGTGCGCAATGAGCCACCACATTTGCCTACTAATACACAGTCACCTCACTTTACAGTATATCCTGGGAAGCACTTTGAAACATCCTCCTGACTTCGAAGCTGCTATACTAAATGCAAGCCATATTATATTATTTTTATTCAAAAAGAGAAAGGAGTTTCTCCCAGTGTCCTAGCCAACAATCACCCGGATGAAATTGGTCATTCAGTTTATGTTTGTTTGTGGGACAATTACTGTACACAAATTGACTGCCGCGATCGCCTACAAAATACATAATCATTCCACTTTATAGCAAATTCCCATGAAGCGCTTCGAGAAGTTTCGAAGGCGTGATCAAGAGCAATACCAAATGCAAGGATCGTCATCAGTATTACTTTTAAACTTCTTTGAAAAATGCTTTTGAATATATGAGCGAAATTCAAACTGGTTTAAAATAAGGACAACTTTCAGAAACTCCAGAGAAGTGAAGGAAAGTTAATAATAATAATCCTTGCATTCGGTGTAGCCCCTTTCACATCAGGAGAATATCCCTAAGCCCTTGCATGATTTACTGTGGAATGACTGTATTTCCGGGTGAACATGGTAGGAAATTTGTGCACAAAAATGTTCCACAAAATGATGAAGTGAATGATCACGTTTTATTTGGGGAACTGTTGGCCAGTACAATGGGAAAAGCTCCCTTCTATTTTCGAACAGTTCAATGGGATCTTTAATGTCTACCTGAACAGGCAGACAAGACCTCGGTTTAACATCGCATCCAAAGGACAACACTTCCAACAACGCAATAACCCCCCCCAACACTGCATTGGAGCGTCAGTTTAGACTATGTGAGTTCCAGCCCGACTTGGGGCTTGAACCCACAACCTTCTGACTCCGAGACGTGAGTCCTACCAACTGAGCCAGGCTGACACACCACACAGAGATTCAAGACCACTCTCTTTCAGTCATCTCTTAATGTGTCAACCATCAACCTTGGTGGGATCTGTGTATTTCCACAAGGCACTGATAACTCAGTCTCATTGGTGATCTTACAGCACAGATAAAACTGGTCATTCCCTTCACTTCACACTTGGAACATTGCTGGGCTCACATTGACTGCCTCGTTCATCCAGAAGATATGTTTATCTACAAGATATAGAATCACTGCACTTCACAGTAATCCTAAGAATCATTTTGAAAGACGCTATATCAAATACAAGGATAATTATTTATTCTTTGGCTCACTTTCGTCTCTGAGTCAGAAGATTGTGGGTTCAAAACCCACGTCAAGACTTGAATTCACATAGTCTAAGCTAATGCTCCATTGCAGTGTCCTGGCCAATAATCTCCCAAATAAAATTGGTCACCCACTCCATGGCCTCAGGAGGGGGAATGGGGGATAAATTCAGAGCGAATCTACGTAAACACTATTTCAGTGAGCGAATAGTGAATGTGCGGAACAGACTCCCGAGGGAGACGGTTGAAATAGGAAATGTTAATTCTTTCAAACACAGATTAGATAGTTTTCTTTTAGGAAATAACATTATGGGATAAAGGGAGTTTGGGACATGTGTGCCATGGTTCCCTACAATAAGACAGTCACTCCATTTCACATTAAATCCTGTACCGTGTTTTGAGATGTTCTTCCGAAATGATAAGACGCGATACCAAAATGCAAGGATTATTATTATGATTATTATTAGAAGTCATACAGTCATAGCCGGAGATATAACACACATATTTATATTAAAAAAATGTTTTATTTTACTCAGGTCACTAACAAGAGCAAATCACTGGGCAGAAAGTAACTCTTTTTCTAAAAAACAGAAAGTTTGTAAAAAAGTTTCACAGAGAGAGAGAACTGGAAAGATTGTTTTTGCAACCCTCAAAAAGAAGAAATGTTTACACCTATAATAGCACTTTTCCTCTCTCTTTCTCTCCATCTCTCTCTCTCTCTCTCTCTCTCATATATTAGATGTTATAGAATAATAATCCCTTCAAAAATAAATTAATAATAATTTGGTCATTCAATCCACAACTGCTGTGTGCAAAATGCAGTCAATCCACTTTACAGTATATCCTGTGAAGCGCTTTGAGACGTCTCAACGATGTGATAAGGCTCTAAATCAAATGCAAGGATTATTATAATTATTATTATTTATTAACTGCTCTGGGATGCTATCCTACATTATATATATAATATACAGGATGATCAAATAGTCTTATTTTTATTATCAAAAAAAAATCATTTCTTTAAGACTTAATAAACATTGTAATGACTTTTTGGTCACCCTGTACACAATATATATATTTTTCATCTCTCTCTCTGTCTGAACTTTCATCAAACTTTTTACACCCTTTAGAAAAAAAACAGTTACTTTTTGCGCAGTGATTGTGCGGAAATGGCTGCCACGTTTCGTCCAGAAAATACACAGTCGATTCACTTGACAGTGTATCCTGTGAAGAGGGTTGAGACCTCTCGAAGATGTGATAAGGCGCTATATCAATTGGAAGGATTATTATTAACATATACATATATATACACATAAAGCGCTCTGAGATGCCGTCCGGCGTGGAGGGCGCTATATAAGTCCAAGTTGTTGTTGTTATATACACACACACATATATATATATACACACATATATACCTGCAGAAAACCAGACAGTCCATGGAATTGACTTCCCTGTCCGACCGATACCTTCTGTAATCCTCCCATAGGTCTTTGAACGCAGCCACAGCCAGGATGAAAGCGATGGGGGCCACTGAGAGGTGAGGCAGGAAAGCACCCACCAGGGGCACGAAGTTGAGCAGAGCCATCAGCACAAAGTAGACATTGGCGAAGCGGTGGAACTGCTCGAGGAGGTTCTTGGGAAAGAAGGAGAGGAGAGTGTATCTGGTGGTCCTCACCCTGTTGTCAGGGTGTCTCCTTCTGCTGCGACTACAACACCATCTTGTCCTCTGTTCCTCTTTGCTGCCTCTGAGCCAGAGGTTGGAGTAGACAATGCGGGTCTTGGTCTTTCTCTTCCCTCCTTCTCCTGTCCTCCTCTTTCTCCTTCTCTCCTTGCATCTGGTCCCAACATCTCCGCTCTCCTCCAACGCTTTCCCTCGATCCATCCCTTACTCTCTCTCTCTTTCTCTCTGGCTCACTCTCTCTCACACACAACAGACGCTTAAACATCAATGAAACCACAATAAAGCACCCTCCACTCCAAAATACTCCCTCTCTCAGAAAATACTCCTCATCTCCCTTCAACGGAAAACTCTCCAGCACTTAAATCCCTCCCCAAAATGATCTGATCCCCAAATAAAACAAACACTCACTTTCTCTCTCTCTCTCTCAGGTTATCATAACTATGCTGAATGGGAACACACACATTTCAGTGTGTGTGTGTATGTTTTCTATGTGTCTCTGTGGGTGTTGTAAACTCCAGTGTGTGTGTCTGTGTGTGGCTGTGAACTAGTTTAGTTCATTCATTTTCCCATTCTGTTTTCACTGCTCACTGCTTTTTCTTTTTGCCCTCCTTTGGCTTTAGAAAGAGGAGTGCGTCTGTGTTTGTCTGTGTGAGTCTGTGTGTGTCTCTCTCTTTGAGTGTGTGTGCGTCGCTGTGTCTCTGTGTGTGCCTCGCTCTCTGTGTATGTGTTTGTCTGTGTGATTCTGTGTGTGTGTGTGTCTTGTTGAGTGTGTCTGTCTATGTGTGTCTTTGTGTGTGTGTGTCTATGTGTGTCTCTGTCTCTGTGTGTACCTGTGTCTGTGTGTGTCTCTATGTCTCTCTCTCGCTGTGTCTCTGTGTGTGTGTCTCTCTCTGTGTCTGTGTTTGTCTATGCGAGTGTGTGTCTCTGAGTGTGTGTGTGTGTTTCTGTGTGTATGTGTCTACATGTGTCTCTGTCTCTCTGTGTGTATCTATGTCTCTGTGTGTGTATGTGTCTCTCTCTCACTGTGTCTGTGTGTAAAAAAGTTATAAGCTCTTGTTATGTACACTCTCACTTGCCTGTTATTTGGGAAAGAGAGACTAAGCATCTGAAAAGACTAATCACTCTCTCTCTCTCTCTCTCTCTCACACACTCCCTTACTCCACCCAAAAACCACAAAGCGTCATTCCTGACGACAAAATCAACGCTTCCTCTTCCAAAAGAAACTTTTCTTTCAAGGAGAAAAGGGGAGGAGGAGGGAGGGAGGTGGGGAGAGGGGGGGAGAGAGAGAGAGAGAGAGAGAGGGGGGGAGGGAGAGTGGGGGAGGGAGAGCGAGAAGGGGAGAAAAGAGCAAATGTCCAAAAAAAAGGCTAGAACTCTTCGCTTTGCTCTTAAAGTCAGTTTCTCTCTGTGAAAACCTCTGTAGAAAATACCCACTTAATGAGCTGCCACATGTTGTTTTATTCCCCTCCTCCCTGTTATTTTCTGAACAAATATAACTCACTGCACCACGATTAGAAGCCAGGGACCGAAATTGCCAAGAAAGCGTTATCACCAAACAGTCCGAGTGAATTCAGCGGAAAGCCAGGAATTCTTTATTTATTCAAAAATCAAAAACAAACAAGCTGGGTCCAATCAAAATATAATAACTTTGTTTTGAATACAACATCATTTTACTTGTTACCCTGGGTTAGCTGGCTACTGCGTTTCGCCCACAAAACACACAGTCACTGCACTTTATGGTATATCCTGTGAAGCGCTTTGAGACGTCTCGAAGACGTGATAAGGCGCTGTATCAAATGCAAGGATTATTATTTAGGATCCTCGAACCAGCAGCTAATTATTCCTGTCCACCTTGGATCCAGATAGTAAATTAATCCTTTACATTTGATACGGCACCTTTCATGAAAGGGTGTTAAGTGTTAGGCAGTGCTTTGGGACCTCTTCCCGACGCGAAGGGCGCTCTACAAATGTAATTTTGTTGTTGTTGTTGTCGTTAGGAGAGTCTCAGGACATTTCACAGGGGTTTAATTATAAAATTTAGCAACTGTGTGTTTCACAAGGGGAAAGAGGGTAGTGGAAGGAAATGTTACCATCAAACAATCCTCGTGAATTCAGCGGAAAAATCAGGATTTTTTTATTGAAACATCCCCCCCAAAAAATCAAGTCGGATACAAACAGAGATATTGACTTTTTTTTTTTAAACGGAAAATAATAACAGTATTTTAATATTTATTATAAATAAATGAATAATGGATCAAGGCGGGGGAAAAAATTATCTGATCCTTTTTTTTCGTGCTAGGAATAGGTCCTCTCACTTGCGTGAAGAGCGCACTAACTACTACGCTATTAGACTCCAAGATATACCAATTAATATATTTATTTGAATATACAATTTCATCACTGTAATGTTAATTGTATGATCAATATAATGTATAAATGCATTCTATTAATAGTATAATTAATATAATCACAATATAATATAAATAATATTAGAATATAAATATACTATATATTAAATGATATTGTATTAGAAATAGGTGAAAACACCCAGATTTTGTTTTAATAAGCATCTAATATAATTTAAGATATTATTATAACATAAAAATGTATAAATATTGTAATAATATAATAATGCAGTAATATAATGAATGATATACAGTATAATAATTATAATATAACTATAATATATTATATAACTATTAAACTAAAAACCCAGTGTTTTTATTATTTTCATTTTCATTTCAAAGTTTTATTCTCGGATGGAAATAATTTATTTTTAGGTGACCGACTCCCATCCAAGGAGACAACGTATGAACCAGTGAAAAACATTAATTCCGTTTAATGCACAAATTATCCCAGAAAATATTAATAATAATAATTATAATCCTTGCATTTGACATGGGGCCTTATCACGTTATTATAAACACATGCTTAGACCAATGCGAGAGCGACTTATACCACACTCTTGAACGAATCCTCTGCCTTTGGCTGAGCAGAGTTCTTGCTTCAGTGAGGGATGTGGGGTTGAGCCCCACATGGGGTGGGGGTGGGGGGTAGACTTGAGCCCACAGTCCCAAGACCCCGCATTCCCAGGTAGCACTGCTACGTTGGAGCTCCTGTGTTCTGCACAACTCGTTCGTTAACAACAACAACAAAAAAGTGACATTTACAGGCGCCCTTTCTCGTCAGGAAGACGCCTCAAGAGGCTTCACTGGATTTGAAGTGTCGCGACTGTGCATTGTGCAGGCGACGTCTCAGCCGACAACAATATTAAGGTCCCTTGCGCCATTCCAAAAGGGAAGGAGAGTTTCTCCTACAACAACAACTTGCAGTTATATAGCTCAGGAGGACGCTAAAGGTGTCATCGTTGAAACCTCAAGTAGAGAGCTTGCAAATCAAGTACGGATTTTGAAACAATCCAAAGACTCTGTGCGATCTTATTTACTGCAGCAACGGAGTCCGTCACCATGGGCTTGTCAACCCTGCTTATTTGGTAATAGTAATAACAATCCTTGCATTTGATACAGCACTTTATTACCTCGTTGAGACATCTCAAAGGGCTTCACAGAATATACTGTACAGTGGATTGACTGCATATTTTGTGAGCGAAACGCGGCAGCCGATTGCGCACAGCAGTGTCCCACAAACAGTCGTGGATTGAGTGACCTAAATATTATTATTATTTTTATTTAAATCAGGTAGATAAGGTAATATTTCTCCCGCTGAACATCAAGAAGCAATCTGCAGTAATGTTAAAGCAGTATTTATTCAACTTGGGTCAAAAAGTTAGCTGATAGTACGTAGGAACCTTGCTAATACCTTTAAATATGGACTTCAATGCACATCCACACTGTGCGGTATCAGCCTGGCTCAGTGGTAGCCCTCTCTCTCTCTCTCTCTCTCTCTCTCTCACCTCTGAGTCACAAGGTTGTGGGTTCAAGCCCCCACGTCGGGAATTCGAGCTCACACAATCTAGCCTGAGTGTAGTACTGTTTTGTCGGAGAATGCCGTCTTTCGGATGAGATGTTAAACCGAGATCCTGTCTGCCTGTTCGGGTGGATGTTAAAGACCTGCGATGTGTGAGCTGCACAAGGTGTGGGTAAGGCCACTTCACCATTGGAAGCAATACAGCCAAGCCCTATCCTCAGCCCCAGCCACACACATGAATTCGTCTGCGAAGGTAACTAACTGGAGGATGATTGGGGTTTAAATATTAATAATAATCCTTACATATGATTTCCCTCTAGTCCCTCCTTGAACCCCTCTCGTCTGGTTTTCGTCCTGCCCCCAGCACAGAGACAGCCCTGGTCAAAGTCACAAATGACGTCCTCTGTAAAGTGTAGTGACTATATTTTGTCGGTAAACACGTCCATTTTACAATGCAAGTTCAGTTAAAGATTTCACCGAAACCTATCTGAAAGATGACAACCAAAAGATCTTCAATACTAAGACAAAAGACGTAAAAAGACCGGGTGACATAATAATAATAATCCTTGCATTTGATATAGCGCTTTTCACATCTTCTCGACGTCTCAAAGCGCTTCACTGAATAGACTGTAAAGTGAATTGACCGTATATTTGCAATCCGAGTGTGTGAACGGCAGCTGAATGGATCACAGAATTGCTCAGCACCCCAGTAAATAGTTACTGTCAAAGCCCTCTTCAGCCTCAGCCCACCTCCCTCGGCTCAGCAAACACTGGCCTGCCTCACATCACCCACACGATCAATCGCACCATTGGCGGGCGAGCTTTCAGCCATAGCTGCTCACTCCCTCCTCTTTGGAACTCTATCCCAGAGTCCGTCCGCCTTGGTCCCTCTCTCCCCATCTTTCTACCATGTTATCGCAAACCTCCTCTTCCCCTCCTTAGCTCCCCTCCACCAACACCAAACCCCACCGCCAACAACAAATTGCATTTACATAGTGCCTTTCACATCGGGAGGACGTTCCAAGGCTCTGGGTGGACCAGGGTAAGGTCCTCATCAGCTGTGTGAAGTGCTTTAAGATGTCCAATCCGTCCGCTCCCTCTGCTCGGTAGGCACCAACCTGTATCACATCCCCATCCCCACCTGCCTCACCATCAGTCGATCAGCTATTTAATCATCTGCCCCCACTCTCTGGAACTCCATTGCTTCAACTCACACCTTTCACCGCCTCCTTCAAACTCCGCCTCAAGACCTTCCCCTTTGACCACGAGTTCCCCAACTTTCCTGCCCTCCTCCACCCCCTCGGTCCCCAGCTCAGTTACTACCCAACGCCTTGGGACGTCCTCCCGACCTGAAAGGCGCTGTCTAAATACTGCTGTATTGTTGTTACACACTGAAAGCTCTAGTAATAATTGGGGTTAGTTACCTGTCCAGCACCGCTGTATGGAGGTGGTTGAGGGCTGTGTCCCATCTGCGCCTGCGACAATCCTCAATAGCGTCTTTAATGGCTACCAAGGACAGCACCACCACCAAAGGGATCATGGTGATGTCCTTGCGGAAAGCCCCCACAATGGGGATCCAATTCAACAGGGCCAAAAACAGGAAGTATGTGTTAGCGAACCTGTGAAAACAGAAATAAAAGGAACGACGGGTCAATAATAATAATGACTTGCACCTATAAGCGTCCTGAGACGCTACTCTGAGTGGAGGGAGCTGTACAAATGCAAGTTGTTGTTGTTGTGCGTCGCCCTTCGTGCC